CACCTTCTCCAGGACAAACTTGTTTGTTCTCCTAGAAGTCCATGGTATATATTCAACACTCTTCTCCAATACCACAGCTCAAAGGCATCAATTTTCTTTGTATCGTCCCTATTCACTGTCCAACTCTTCAATGCATAGCACATATTTGCAAAGACTATAGCCTGGATCAGGTGCACCTTAGTCTCCAGCCTGACATCGTTGCTCTTCAGTACTCTTGAGAGGTCCCTGACAACTGAATTTCCCAGTGCAATTCATCTCCTGATTTCCTGGATGCTATTGCCAAGAGTGTTGATTGTGGAACCAAGTAAACTAAAAGTGTGAACAATCTCAATCTCTTCACCATCCATTCCGATGCTGCCAATTGGCCCAGTTGTGAGAATCTTTGTTTTTTTGATGTTGGTTTCAATCCATATAGGAGACTGCAGTCCTTGACCTTCTGCAGCAAGTGCTTCAGGCCCTCCTCAGTTTCAGCAAGCAGGGTTGTGTCATCTGCATAACACAGGTTGTTGATGATTCTTTCACCAATCCTGATGCCACATTTTGTGTGTGTGTATATTCTATTTGTACTAACTCATTCATTTTACACATAGCTACTGAGTGTCTACTTTGTGCCCTATGATAGATTGACAATTGCTGCACATAGAAAATGCCTGAATGCTTTTATATATCTCCTTAGAGGGGGCTCTGACAATCTATGAGTAAGAAATTACACTGCCCGCCCAAAGGTAGGCAGTTCTAATCCACTACTTGTTCCAAGGGAGAGCAAGAGAGAAGGATGAGCAGTTTCCTCCTATGCAGTTTACACTCTCTGAAAACCCACTGGAAGGTCAGCTATGAATTGGTTCCAACTAAACAGCAATGAGTCAGTCATACATCCTTAGAGACAAGGACAGTCAAACTTTGTCTCCTATACTTTGGACATGTTGTTAAGAAGCACCAGTCCTTGGAAACTGACGCCATACTGGGGAAAGCAGAGGGTTAACAAAAAAGAGAGGAAGGCTCTCAATGAGATAGTCTGACACAGTGACTACAACAATGGGCTTGAACATGGCAGATATTGAGAAGATGTCACAGGATAGGGCTAGGTTTCAATCTGTTGCTCATAGTCTTGCTATAAAGTTGCAATCAACTCAACAACATCTAACAACTCTATAAGGTGATGGATTTATACAATGATGGTAGCAATGGGCTAGAGCAAGGCAGAGGTCATGAGGATGATTCAGAGTAAGACAAGAGTCTGATCTTGTCCATAGGGTAGCTATGAGTCATGGCAGGCTCAACTGCACCTAATAACAATACATATTTCTGGTATATTCTGTATATAGAGTTTGAGGACTAGGGTACGTCAGATTCAGGTTATAGTATTTCCAATGCTTCCGAGACCTGGACAATAAATAAGGATGACAGAAAAAGAATCGACACCTTTAAACTGTGGTGTTGAAGAAGAGCACTGAACATCCCATGGACAGCCAAGGGAATGAACGGCTATGTCTTGGAGAGGGTGCAGCTGGAGTGCTCTTTGAAGGCAAGAATGATGAGGCTTTGCCTCACATACTTTGGACATATTGATAGGAGGGGGCAATTCCTTGGATAAGGACATGATGTTGGGAAGGGCAGAGGGTTGATGAAGGAGAGGAAGAACGTTGACCAGGTGTATTGACACAGAGACTGCTACAATGGGCTCATGTGTGTCAGGAAGTGTGAAGATGGCACAGGATAGAACAGGGTGCAGATCTTTTGTTCATAGGATCACTATGAATAGTGCTCGATTCGACGGCACCTAACAGCAGCAACACTTGCTGAAGTAACAGGTGACTTTGAATTGTTACTTGTTTATTTTTCAGTTTGCAATATATTTTAACAAAATCCACACTTTTTTAGAAATAATGAACTAATATATTTAAAAAGCATTTTAAGAGACTACTTATAATATGCCACGTGAAAAAATATTATAAACAACCTACAAACTCAATATTAAGTGAAAGCAAAGGTTGGAGACAAGGAAGAAAAGAGGAGGAAGGAGAGAGAGAGGGAGATAATATGTCAGAATCTAGCAAGTTGGCCTATGTGGATACTGGGATTCTTTACACTGTGTGTTCTAAAGATTGAATTTGTTTTACTTTTAGAATCAAGAGGAAAACCTACAACTTTTTCAAGATTTGGTCTAATTATAGGGAGCTCAGGTAGCTTAGAGTCAAGAAGTTGAGCTGCAATTCTAAAGGCATGCAGTTCAAGTCCACCAGCTGCTCTGCAGGAGAAGGATGGGCAATCTCCTCCCATGAGATTAACTGCCTCTGAAAACCCTCCAGAGGGTCAGTTATGGGTTGGTTCCAACTCGATGGTATACAACAACAACGACAGTCCACGTACGATTTTTCTATGAAGCTACTTCAGATTCTTGAATTTTGCCTTTTTCTTATTTTGAATAATTTTATCCCCTAGCATTCTCTAAGCAAAGCAAAACAAAATACAAGCTCATTTTGTGACTACTGATTCCTAACGACCCTATAGGATAGAGAACAGAATCATTGAGTTTCCAAGGCTGCCTTATCTTGGTTCTATGGAGCACCTTTTGTGTTCAAACTGTTGGCTAACGACTAAGTGCTTGACCACTTGCACTACCAGGGTTCCCAAGCACTCATAAAGCATGACAAATTTGCCTTAGCCATCGGAACAGCTGCCGCTAGGTTTGCATTTCCCCTTTCATGTCAGTTTTCAAGTTAAAAAAAAAGTTCAAGTTCAGAAAGTTTATTTCCTAACAATAAAAATGGATTCTGTGTAATTCACTTGTTATCTGTCCAATACTGATCTAATTTTAGTGGGCAGAACTTCCTCAATTCTTATTCTTTCCTCTTTTTTTCTAGTTCTCTAAATTATCAGTTATATAGATATTTTATTTGTATGCACACATAGACATGCACATACTTACATGTGTATATTTGATATGAAAGTTATCACTCAATTAACTAATAGACTAGACAGCTATTACTAATTAAATTTTTTCCTTAGAAAATTTTGTCTCGTGTCCCATCTCCTACCAGTTTCTTGAGAGAAATAGACTCCTTAACGCAAACTGGAAACACCATCTATGGAATCATAACTTTCTTCCAAACCAAAAACCAAATCAAACTACCAAGTCAGTTTCAATTCATTGATTCCCTGTAGGACAGAGTTGGGTTTCTGACACTGTAAATCTTCATGGAAAAAGACTGCTTTGTCTTTCTCCAGGAGGTTTGAAACACTGACATTTTGGTTAGAAGCTCAAAGCTTAGTCTACAACACCAACAAGGCTCCTAGTTAGTTTCTTTTTTCCAGACCTATAGTATCATGCCGGCAGTCTCTGAGAAAGTTACAGAAAAGGAAGTCAGTGTGATAAGTCTCCCATAAATTACCTTGTATAGCCTGTTTGAACAGGTTTCAGCAAAGCAGACTCTGAATTAAGAGCAGAGGTCAACTATTTTAGTGCATTTCAACTTTTACAAAGTAAATACAGATCGTAAAACATTACTACTCTGTGAAGGCATTCAAAAGCAAATAGAGATGGGTCAATGTCTACCATTAGCACCTTGCCCTGAGACCTGGATCCAGGGACTCAGCCCTCCCTTGGCCTGGCTTCCTATCTTCCAGGAGAGGCCCTGCCCAGCAGGAAGAATAAGGTTCCTGGAACCAAGGTGTCACAGGATGTTTAAAGGGTCTTGGAATCAGGGAATTTCATTCTAGATTGAAGACCATGAAGGAAGAATAATGTGTCATCCTGCCTATGAGGGGAGAGATTTCATGAAAAAGTACCATTCTATCTTTGGGTCCTTAAAATATCAAGTACCAAAGGATACTTTGGGATAAAAAGAGTGCTTAGGTGGACACACTGGAGTTTTGACTCTTCACTTCATTCTGTTAACTGAAACAAAATCTGCTGCTGTCCACTCAATTTCAACTTATGGCAACCGGTGTGTTGTAGAACAGAGCTGAGCTGTGCAGGGTTTTCTTGATGGTAATCTTCAAAGAGGTAGATCACCAGAACTTTCCTTTTTACAGTGACTCAGTAGATTTTAATCACCAGCCTTTGAGTTAGTAAACTGGTACAGCTTGTATAACACAAAGACCATCTTTGCTGTGTTACAATTGTTCCAAGAATTCAAGATCAAACAGAAATGTAAAAAATGTAGCCCAAGGGTGTTTGGAAGTATAGAAAGATTCTTTCTGGCATTCTGCATTGTTCTGTGGTCCCTATCCCAGTAAGGTTCCCATGTGCATGTGTTCCTTGCATTGGAAATTTCCAATAAGGTGCTTCTTACTATCTGCAAATATGTGACACTGTGTATTTCAAACTTTTTTCCGTTCTACTACTGGCAACCTCTCAGACAGTTAAACCACAGCAATCCAAGAAGGGAATAAATATAGATTCTGGAACTCTTTTGTTTCTGGTGAGTAAATATAGTATCAACTAGATTATCCAAATCCCCTGAGTATGAGTTTGCAGTCCCTAATTCCCTGGCACGGAGTGATTTTCTTGAAGAGATTGATTTAATCTCTTGCAGTTGGTGGATAAACTGTTTACTAAATTTCGAAATGCCAATTTGTCCTGTGCTGGTTGACCACCTGGTTAGGCAGTCGATTCTGAGTGATGTCATTTGCTGAGGATTTGCATTGTCATTAAGCCGGGATTTCTAAATCAGAGGTGCTTTTTGTGTCTCTGCGGTCTTTATCCATCTAGATATGTGCCTAGTAATTTGACACATTAAAATAACTGTATCAATTTAATTTTGTACCATTTCAATTAAAGGATATCTATCTTGCCTGCAAACTGGCACTCTGTCCTATATATATGTGAGCCATAACATTCCAGACATGATTTATTTCCTAATTAAAAAGGGAGAGGAATTTGTTATTAAAAGTTATAAACCAATGTGCATTATTGCTTTGGTGGATCAAGTAGCAAAATGTAAACATTGTGCAATTAGTAAATTACTAATTTGTTTACGCTTCATTTTGTGTTTCAGGTGTATCATTATATTGTTGCTGCTATCTTCTTTTAAATATACTTGAAACAGAATTTGGACCAATTTGTTGAGAACAGATACTTCCTAAACATGATGCACTTCAAAAGTGGACTTGAATTAACTGAGCTGCAAAACATGACTGTGCCGGAGGATGATAATGTTAGCAATGATTCCAATGATTTCACTGAAGTGGAAAATGGCCAAATAAACAGGTGAGTATTTTTCCACTAACACTTACTTTCCAATGAAAGAAATAGCTCTAAAGAATTGTTCTGATTTTCATTTATTCTCTTGAATTATTCATTACTAAAGTTATGCTCCACTTGAAGATGTAATTTGAATTTCTTATGTGACATCTGTTGGACATAGTTTGCAATAGCAGATGCAACAAATAGGAAAGTAATTTATTCATCCTTTCAAATCTTTCAATTGAGTCTAATAAAAATGTATAAACACACTGGACCCCAACCAGCCTTAATTTTTCAAAGGCTCTGTGCTTATAGATTAGAGAAACTGTTTGAATGCCACTGAGTCCTGCATCTGAATGTGTATTGCAATCATCTGACCTTCCTCACATTTTAATTGAGCAATGGTTCGAGCTACAGAGGCCAAGTGATTGAGTAAAACTACAAATATATCATAACAAGAATAATTCATAGTGTGGATGAATTTTCAGAAAAAATTTGAGTTGAGCCCGAATTGTTCTGTTAGAAAGTATACCAAGAGAATTGGTAGATGAAAGAGAAGAAGAGGTTCCATGAGTGAAAGGAGAAGCAGGGAGGAGAGATAGAGACAGGAAGGGAAGGGCAAATGACCTGGGACATCTTCCAACATCTATGTTCTTTGTCTCTAAGAGCAGAACCAAACATATTTCATATATCCTTCCACCCAAAAAAGGATCTATGATTTGGGGATCTTCTGACTTAATAATTTGAGAATTGGTTTATGTGAAGCCTAAGACTCTTTGGACTTATTATATCTCAATGTCAGGAAAACAGAAATTCTCACCACTGGACCAATAAGTGACAGATGTAGTGAAGACTGAAACTCTCAGTGATTTCGTCTTACTTGTATCCACAATCCATATACTTGCTACCAGCAGTCAGGAGATGAGGAGATGTATTGCCTTGGGAAAGTCTACAGTCAGGGATCTCTCCAAATTATTAAAGAGCAACGATGTTAGTGTGAGGACTAAGGTATGCCTAATTCAGATCATGGTCTTTTCAATCACTTGTTATGCTGCTGAGAGCTAGACAATGAGTAAGGATTACAGAAGAAAAATTGATGCCTTTGAGTTCAAAGTATTGGAGAAGAGCACTGAATATCCCATGGATTGCCAAAAGAACAACAGATAAGTCTTGGAGAAGGTGCACCCAGTAGTACTCCTTGGAGGCAAGTATAGTGAAGCTTCATCTCACATATTTTGGGCATGTTGCTAGAAGCTTTTTCTTAGAGAGGGATATCGTGCTTGGGAAGGTAGAGGGATGGTGAAGGAGAAGAAGACCCTCAATCAGGTGGCTTGACTCTGATGGTAGTAGCAATGGGCTCTAATGTGTCACAAATAGTGAGGATGGCACAGGAAAGGACAGGGTTCAGACCTGTTTTTTCATTAAAGTCGCATGAGTCTTACTTGACGTGGCAGCACCTAAGAGCAACAGCAAGAGTGTGTGGATGGAGCAAACAATTAACCCATTTGGCTGCTAACTAAAAGGTTAGAATGTCAAGTCCAGTCAGCACCTCAGAAGAAAGCTTAGTAATCTATGTCTGAATTACCAACTATTGAGATCTCAGTGGATTACACTTCTATTCTGACACACATTGGTCATCATAAGTTGGAGTCTACTAGATGGCATCTAACAGTAATAGCAGGAAGCCCTCCTTTTTTGAAGTTAGTAGCACAGCTGTCGGAAGCATTGGATCTTCTAAAACACAAGGAGAAGAGGGTATACCGGTGATGCTGCAGTTCTTCAGAGGAGCCAGAGGAAATAAGAATGAGGAGGATAGGAACATTATGTCAACTAACCAGGTATCTCATTTCTGATATCTGCTGTACATTTTAATATAGTATGGAACTAAAAGGTCACTGTAGGCCTTAGCCATCACTTTTACATTCTCCGAAGCTGTCAACACTACCTCTTCTTTTCCTTCCTTTGAATGTTTGTGGAGGACAAGTCCTCCACCCAGTCATTTTTCCTCATTTTCATCCAAGAACTATTTACTGTGTGAGGTGATATTTCTTGTCGCTGCAAGCAAATTTACTTTTCACCTTTTCTGAGTAATTGTTAATAGCAACCACCATTTCTTGAGTTCCAAGAATTTTACACTAATTACCCCTTGTTCTAATAGACATCATACATAGCAGGTATGCTTTTGTAAATGAGGACAATTTAAAAATTCCATTTACAGACCCTGAGAAATAAAGTTACTTGACCACACAAATGAAAAAACACAAGCAAATTGCTGTTGAGTGATTTCTGTCTGAGACCATGACTTTCTGTTCTTCTTTTTTTAAAAAGTGCATATAGTCTTTATTTTGTCACAAGAAAATACCCTATCAATGGCTTCTATCAGGATTCATTAGAAAACTAATGTATATTGAAGTGTAGCTTCTTTTCCATCACATTTCAAGATTTTCTGGGGTTTTTTGTTGCCTCTGTTTAATACTCAGGGTGCAGTGAAAGCTGAACTTCAGTTTTACTAAATTGCCCTTTTGTGCTCTGTGTGCCTGATGTTCTTGTCCCTACTTACTTCTGTTTAAGATGGAAAATATTTCAACCATTTTCCAAGTAGGAAATTTTGGTTTTGTAACAAAACTTCATTCTCAAAAACAGTCATATCCCAGAGAGCTTATCATGAAAGTCAATTACTCTATCCAACGTAGACTCTTAGTTCCATTTTAACAGTTTGACTTCCTAAAAATATTAGTATATTTATAATTTTAAAAAGTGATTAACACTTTTAGTTGTAAGTAGGTAGAAGGAGAAGCATTCTGGTCCCTGAATTGGGCACCTTTCCCAATGAGCTCACTTCCCCTTGGACTGTGACTAAGGCAATGAGTTGGTTCAGAAGGAAAGCAGTTGAATACTGACCTCTTGCTTTGCAGACTTTGGTTCCACTTTTGCAAATGCAGTGGGTGTATTTATTTCTTTATTTTCCTCCCATGAAGACTGACATAGTTAATGACTCTGACCTTATCTCTGACTCTGGAACAATTGCAATTATAAACAGCATATGGTAGCATGCAGCCACTAAAGGTAAGTATACCAAAAGAACTTCTAAACACCTCAAAAAACCCACTGCCTTTGAGTTGATTCTGACTCATGGTGACTCTCCCATCAGCTTCCTTCCTGTTAAATCTTCACAGGAGCAGACTGCCTGCCTTCCCAAGAGCTGTTGGTGCATTTGAATCACTGATCTTTCTGTTAGCAGCCCAAAATATAGTCTGCGGTACAGCATGGAGCTCTGGTAGTCTAATGGCAAGAAGCTGCACTGCCATTCTTAAGGCACGTGGTTTGAGACCACAAGCTATTCTGCTTTGAAAAGGATGAGCAGTCTCCTCCCATGTGATTAATTGTCTCTGAAAACTTGCCAGCCAGTCAGTTATGGGTCAACAGCAATGCCACCAGGACTTCTTTGGGAGTCTGGAGGAGATCTCCACAGTGCTTTATTTAAGCTTCCTATAGGCTGACCAGGAAGCCTTGGTGGTACAGTGGTTAAGATGCTCAGCTGCTAACCAAAAAGTCAACAGTTTTAAAATACCAGCCACTCTATTTGGGAAAAAGATAGGCTGTCTGCTTCCATTAAAATTTAGAGCCAGTAAGCCTTGTGAGGTAATTCTACCCTATCTCATGGGATCAATATGAGTTGGAATCACCTAGATGACAGTGAATTTGGTATGTTTCATAGGTTGGTCTATCTTAATATATTGTATCATTTTAGTAATCTTTGACCAGAGGAAACGTGCCCAATAAGCAAAGTAAGCACGGGCTTATTGTTCATAATAGATTAGTAAGTCAGCACAGGTAAGCCTATACTTCCTTTATTTACTGAGTAAACAACCTACCCCATCCATAACTCTTGAGAATGTGCACATAAACTTTCATAACTCCTACAACTTTGTCTAATTCATGGACAGAAAGTAGAGTCAATTACAGGAATCTAAGGGAATTGCCTCCCAAAACAGTGAATAAGAGAACAGTACCTTTTTAAAAGCATGTTATGAATTGGGAAAACAGTGAATAAGAGAACAGTACCTTTTTAAAAGCATGTTATGAATTGGGCTGCCAACTAAACGGTCAGTGGTTCAAATTCACCAGCAGTTACTTAGGAATAAGATGGGCAATCTTCTAAAGATTTAGAACCTCAGAAACCAGACGGAGGCTCATTCTGAGTCAGAATTGATCAATTCCACGGCATTGAGTCTGTAGAGAAAATGTTAAAAACGAGACAGGATAGATCTCTAATTTCCTGGCTCCTGGGTAGTAACTTTTCTTGGAAACTCCTTTCCAGAAAAACATAACAACATTTTTTAATAGTTAAAAATAAAACAAAACCATTTAGTTCTGAAAACACTTTATCTGGTACTCTAGTTGTTTTATTATACACATTAAGTTTTTACTTGTCACAGAAACTTACATAGTGCTTGGAATTTGGATTGGCAAAACTTTTGAAAGTGTTCATTGTACCATAGATACTAATGTTTTAACATGCTTATGAACACTTGAAAATCTTGTTAAGATGCATATTCTGATAGAGTAGGTCTCACGGGGGGCCTAGACTACTAACTAGCAAGGTCCAGGTAGGGTGTAGATTTCTAGCAGTTCTAGGGGACACTTATATTGTTAAACTATGGACTACAGATTCTTCCTAGATAGTTGCTTCATACAAGGAACTGTCTTCATCATCTGTGTATTTCTTGTACCTATCTCAACTGTCCTAGTCCCTAGTACAAACACTAAAATACTTGAGTTATTAAATCTTGCACTCACAATTTCTTTTTCTAGGCATTACAAAATATTGTATGAATGAGAGAGTGGGACCGAAAGAGAGACTTAGACAAACTCTTAAATTCAATGACTTTGAGTCAGTGCCAGTTCTTTGCAGCCCTTCTTCAGGTTTCTGAGAGCATAAATCACACAGGAAGCCTGTCTTTTTCCACTTGAGCCACTGGTGGATTAGAACCACTAGAGAGACATGCAACCTTTGGGTTAGC